AGCAGCGGTCCGGGGGGGGACGAAGGGGCATGGCGGGACCAGGCAGGTTCCGGGGGGTGGGGCCAGGCCCGCCCCGGTGCCAACGGGGGTGGGGGTGAGTGAGGCGGCCCCGTCCCCCAGGGAGATGGGGCGGGGCCCGGGGCGGGGAAGTGGGGCCGGGCAGGCACTGGGGGCCAGGCCCGGTCCGAGGGGGGGGGGGGGCGGCCCCCCCCCCGGGGCGCGCGGTCTTGAGGCGCACGGGCTCCCTGAAGTGGCGGATGACGGCCAGGGTGTCGCGGTGGGTGAGGCCGCTCACGGGGGTGCCGTTCACCTCCAGCAGCACGTCCCCGGGGCTAGGGGGCTTGCCGGAGAGCAGCACCGGGCCGGGCCCGCCGAGCTCCCCCAGCAGCAGGCGGCCCCCCAGGTAGGGGAACTCGCCGAGCTCGGCGCCGCCCCGCAGCAGGTCGGGGTCGGGCGCCCCGCCGGGCTGCGGCGGCCCCCAGGACACGGCGCACTCCTGCACCTTGCTCAGCCAGTGCCGCTTCTTCCGCAGCGTCTTCGACATGCCGCACCATGGGGGGCCGGGCCCGCCCGCCCGCGCGGTGCCCCCGGCTCCGCGCGCCTCACAGGGCCGCTCGCCGCCCAGCCCGCGCGCCTCCGAACGCGGCCGCGGCAGCCTCCCGACTGCTGCCCTCAGCTCGGCGGCGGCCGGCCACGCCCCCCCTCCCGCATGGGCCCCGCCCCCAACGCCGAGAGCCCCGACACGGCCGGTCACGCCCCCCCAGCCGGCCACGCCCTCACGGCCGGCCTGGCACAGCCGGGCGGAGCCAAGTCCGCGTGACGTCAGAGGCAGAACTTTCACTAGCTTGAGCTGGAAATGGGCGTGGCACCGACTGTCTGTCTGTCCGCCCCGTGTGTGTGTGTCCTGCTGTCCAGGGTCCCTGCGTCTGCCCAGTCCTGCTGTCTGTCCGCCACCCCACCCCTCCCTCCTGCTGTGTGGTCAGCCCCCCATCCCAGCCGGGCATCTATCTGTCTGTCCAACCACCCGCCCCCCCGCCTGCCCTGTTAGTCCCCCACCCATCCCTCCTGAGGAGGGTCCGGTCTCCGCGCATCTGTCTGTCCTGCTGTCTCTCTACCCATCTGCCCACCTCTCTTCCCTTCACCTGATCCTCCTGCTATGTCTGTCCATCTGCCCCCATCCCCTCTGTCGGTCCCTCCATCGGCACCGACTTCTGCTGGCACCGGTGGGTGCTCAGCCCCCCTTTGCCCCCAGCTCTGCCCCAACTCCACCCCTGCCCCCATTCCAACCCCTTCCCCAAAGTGCCCACCCCAACTCCACCCCCTCCCTGACTCTATACCAGGGGTCGGCAACCTATGGCAGGCGTGCCAAAGACGGCACACGAGCCGATTTTTAATGGCACACTGCTGCCTGCCGGAGTAGCGTGCCATTAAAAATCCTGCCCAGCCTGGCCCGGGCCGCTCTTCTCCGCCCTCCCCTGGAGCCCTGCCGCTGTGCGCACAGCGCTCTGGGGTCCGGGGCTGCACGCTCCCACGGGGCAGTGTTCGGCTCCGCGGGGAGGCAGATACGCTCCCCCCTCCCCTGGAGCCATGCCGCCGAACGCACAGCGCTCTGAGGGGCGGGGCTACCCGCTCCCGCGGGGCAGCGTGTCTGGCTCTGTGCAGAGCAGAACATGCTGCTAGGAGCCTTATGGTAAGGGGCGGGGGGGGGGGTTGGATAAGGGGTGGGGGCAGTCGGGACAGGGAGGGGTTGGATAGGGGATGGGATCCCGGGCGGGGTGGTTAGGGGTGGGGGGGGTCTTTGGAGGGGGCAGTCAGGGAGCTGGGCATGGGAGTCCCGGGGTCTGCAGAGAAGAAGCGGGGGTAGGGCCTTGGAGACGGGGGGGAGGTGGAATAGGGGCATACAGCCCCCTGGCCTGACCCCCACCAGCCCTCTGCCCTGAGCCCTGACCCCCCCACACATACACGCAGCCCTCTGCCCTGACCCCCCCACACACACACGCACACACCCAGCCCTCTGCCCTGAGCCCCGCACACACCCCAGGCCCGTGCCCTGAGCCCTGTACCCCCCTCATACACACCCAGCCCTCTGCTTGACTCCTTCACCCCCCCACGACCCCAGCCCTGACTCTGGCACCCCCACACATACCCAGCCCCCTATGGGTCCCTCCTGCTATCTATCCATCTGCATGCCCCCCCAGCACCCATCCATCTGGCTGCCCCCTGCTGTCTGTCTATCCACCCCCTCATCTGTCTGTCCCTCTTGCTGGGTCCACCCATGGCCCTCCATTTGGTGCCCCCCCATCTGTCTGTTGCACCTGTCTTTCTGCCCACCACCCCAGGATCTGTCTGTCCCACAGTCCCCCAATGTCCTCAAACGCCACCTGTGGCTACCCTCTCCTTTCTCACCCTAAGATGAGGACAAATCAGTGTCTGAAATACAGGTTGCTGCTGCCAAAGTCACAGACACTCTCTTAATCCAGCTATGAAAATAGAAATATAGCCCATATAATGGGGTTTTACATTTATTTTAGTTGGAAGTGTATATGAATTTATGTACAAATTAGGTATATCCGTCATGCCCCTGGCTAACATACCAATGTTAGAAATGTAGAGCTGGAAGGAAGGGACCTCAAGAGGTAACCTTATTCAGCCACCTGCACGGAGGCAGGACCATGTAGATCAGATCTGACAGGTGTTTGTCCAACCTGTTCTAAAAAGCCTCCAATGATGGGGATTTCACCACCTCCCATGGAAGCCTATTCCAGAATTTAGCTAGCCCTTATAGTTAGAAAGTTTTTCCTAATATCTAACCTAAATCTCCCCTGCTGCAAATTAAAAGCCCATTAGTTGTGTTCTACCTCCAGTCCATGTAGAGAACAATTGATCACAGTCTTCTTTGTAACATATTTGATAAGAAAAGACTTATCGGGTCTACCTTAAGTTAAGACTAAACATGCCCTTAAAAAAAAAAAAACTTTCCTCATAGGTCAGATTTTCTAAACCTTTTATAATTTTTGTTGCTTTTCTCTGGATCCTCTCCAACTTAGCCATCTTTCCTAAAGTCTGGTGCCCACAATCTGATACAGTACTCCAGCTGTAGCCTCAGCAGTGCCAAGTAAAACAGGATAATTAGCAGCTGTGTATTACATACTACACTCCTGAATGATATTAGCCCTTTTCACAACTGCATCACATTGTTGGTTCATACTCAATTTGTTACCCCCAGAGCCTTTTCAGCAGTACTACCACCTAGCCCGGGGTGGCCAACCTGAGCCTGAGAAGGAGCCAGAATTTACGAATGTACATTGCCAAAGAGCCACAGTAATTACATCAGCAGCCCCCCCATCAACTTCCCCCCCAGCTCCCAGCACCTCCCACCCACCGGCAGCCCCACGGATCAGTGCCTCCCCCTCCCTCCCTCCCTCCCTCCCGATCAGCTGTTTCATGGTGTGCAGGAGGCCCTGGGAGGGAAAGGGAAGGACCGAGGGCATGGCAGGCTCAGGGGAGGGGGCGGGAAGGGGTGGAGTGGGGGCAAGGCCTGTGGCAGAGCCAGGGGTTGAGCAGTGAGCACCCCCTGGCACATTGGAAAGTTGGTGCCTGTAGCTCCAGCCCCGGAGTCGGGGCCTATACAAGGAGCCGCATATTAACTTCTGGAGAGCCGCATGTGGCTCCGGAGCCATAGGTTGGCCATCCCTGACCTAGCCAGTTAGTCCCCATTTTGTAATGGTGCAAATTACTATACTTAGGAATTAAAATCAAATGCACTTATCTTTATTGAATTTCATCTTGGTGATTTCAGACCAATTATCTCATTAGTCAAAGTTGTTTTGAATTCTAATCCTGTCCTCCAAAGTACTTGCATCCTCTCCCAGTTTGGTGTCACCCACAAATTTTATAAGTACACTCTCCACTCCATTATCCAAGTCATTATTGAACATGTTGACTCATACTAGATCCAGGACAGGCCCCTGGAGGACCCCGATACACACACACATCCAATTTGACAGTAAACCATTAACTACTCTTTGAAAAAACATTCAAACAACTGTGCACTCACTTTCTAATAATTTAATCTAGATCACATCTCCCAAGCTTCCTAATGAGAATGTCATGAGTGTGTGTGAAAAGCTTTACTAAAATCAAGGTATATCACATTTTCTGCTTCTCCCCATCCACTATCAGAGGGCTAGCCATGTTAGTCTGTATCCACAAAAACAATGAGGAGTCCAGTAGAACACTTCAATCTCCCTGGACGTTCTATAACTGATTTCAAAGTAGCTATACTTCAACAAAAAAACTTCAAAAACAGACTTCAAAGAGAAACTGCAGAGCTACAATTAATTTGCAAATTTAACACCATTAGTTTGGGCTTGAAAAGGGATTGGGAGAGGCTGGCTCACTACAAAAGCAATTTTCCCTCTCTTGGTATTGACACCTCCTTATCAAATTATTGGTGGTGGACCACATCCACCCTGATTGAATTGGCCCTGTCAACACTGGTTCTCCACTTGTAAGGTAATTCCCTTCTCTTCATGTGTCAGTATATATGCCTGTATCTGTAATTTTCACTCCATGCATCTGAAGTGGGATTTTTTACCCACGAAAGTTTATGCCCAAATAAATCTATTAGTCTTTAAGGTGCCGCTAGACTCCTATCCACTAGGTCAGCAACCCTGTCAAAGAAGGAAATTAGATTAGTATGGCATGATTAGTTCTTAACAAGTTCATGTTGGCTATTACTTATTACCTAAAGGATAACAGGGTTCTTACCAAGTGATTGTTTAATAATTTGTTCCAGCATCTTTCCAGGTATCTAAGTTGGGCTGGCTGGTCTATGATTCCCCAGGTCCTCTTTGTCCCTTTTTAAAAGACAGATATTATGTTTGTCCTTCTCCAGTCCCCTGGGACCCCGCCCATCCTTCAGAAGTTCTCAAAGAGAATCACTAAAGATTCCAAGATTGCTTCTGCTAGTTTCCCAAGTACCCGAGGATGAATTTTATCAGGCCAACTTGAATACATCTAACTACTCTAAATATTCTTGCATCCTTGCCCAATCGCAGAATTTCTTTAGTGCCTGGCCATTTAGCAGCTCTGTCAGCTTGTTTAGATGCATTTATAAATATATAAATGCCACTCACCAGAAGTCATTCTCTTTTATAAATCTGTAATATTTATCTTCTCTCTGTACCATTCAGGCCTCAATTTTATGGGCACTTATGGATATGCCAACTTCAGTTTGACTAATCACATGCTTAAAGTTAAGCACATACACAAACATTTGCAGGACCAGGGCCTTAAGCCTGCAAGTTCTTAGAGTCAAAGTTTGGGTGCATTAGAGTAATTGTTTAATAATTACAATAGTAACTACTACTGTTTGCAAGGCTAATTCAAAATAAGTTTTATCATCTATGGATTTGAAAGTCTGTTGATTCACATAATTTCAAACTGGTGTGACCCACCCCTCTTAATTTATTTGGTTTTTTTTCTTAATTAGAAACTATTTTCACTGCAAATCTCTCAAACTATCTGAAAAATTTTAAGAGTATTTGTTTCCT